GGGGGGGGGGGGAGGCAGACTCGACGATAGAGCTACCGGATTGGTTTATGGGGACCCATCTCTCTTATATGCTGCCAAAGGGGGGCACTTGGCGGTAGTTAAGCTTTTGCTTGAGAAAGGAGCTGACGTGGAAGGACATATACCTCGTTCATTCGTGGCTCGGACGAGGAATTTGTCCATGATTCAGCTTCTGATCAGCGCAGGTGCCAATTCAAACACGAGATAAGGATATAACGAATGCAAATGAATGCACATGATTAATGAGGTAGATCTCTACAACGGACTCTCACTAACAGCCCGCGAAGCCACCCGCGAGGGCCGTCCACCAGCACCGCTTCCCAGATCACGGAGAAGATTCCCCAGACTCTCAACCAGCGGCGGCAACGGCTCGCTCCGGATAGGAAAGTTCTCCCTAAACACATTCCTCGCAATCGAGAGCGTCGCACTGGGGTTCGACAATGCCTCGACCCCGGCATCTGCCTCGCCGCTGAGCATGAGCCCCGGAACGCCTCTGTCCAGCTGGACAAACGCCTTGGTATCACGATTCTCCTCGCCATCTACAAGGACGAGCTCCGAGCCACGGCCTCCTGCGGTGATCTCCTGCTTGCGATCGGGCTGCGAGCACGAGAGCAGCCCATAGATCCACAGCGTCAAGCTCGCGAAATAGACAGCAATGGCATTAAACCCCCTGAGAGAAGTCGGCGGCATCTGCCTCGCATTGCGGAAAACCTGACCGGCGTGCCAGACCGCATATCGGGCCTCGGGACTGCGAGCCCAGTGCTCCTCCAGCGAGGCAGCTGCTCGCCCTGCTTCCTCTTCGCCGCCCTTGCCGGCGAAGCGTTGAAGCTCGTCGGGCCAGACGTGCAGGATCATCATGAACAGCTCAAGGATGACGGCGAGGTTGGGATTGGACTTCTGGGAAGTATAGATGATGGTTGAGAAGTCACTCAAATCTCTGTAGAGTTCTTGGTGCTGAGACTTTAGCCACAAGTAATGCGTAGCGTTTCTCTTGTTTGTGCCGTTGTCAGCGTAAAACCTGACGGCCTCGCGGTAGGCAGCAATTTGGCCCCAGAATCCATGAAGCAGAGCACCGTAGCAGAGTTCTTCATCAATATGCTCTGCCAGCTCGTCCAATAGGGATATGCTGTGCATAACCTCCGAGACTCGCGGCATCTGCCTCCCATCGAGCATGGGCTTCTTCCTCAAGTATACTTCCCGCCATGCTGTGGCTGAGGGGGCTCTCCAGAGGTCTCGGGATGCAGGAAGACTAAAGTTGAGTTCCGTGAATGACATTAGGGGGTTCTTCTGAATGCCGACAGAAGCCTGAGTGTCATGGAAGAAAAGATGAAGAGAGAGCCTAAATAGTTGAATTAGCATCGTCTGAAGCGCGTGGCACCAAACACCTCACCTCTTGAAAGACTCGTGCTCGACAAACTTCCTCCACTTTGCCTCAATCACATCGGCAGTGTCGAGCTCGCTTGGAAATAAGGAAGGCATGTCAACGAGGGCCGAGAAAGTGCCCCCTCGGCGAAGCATCTATCTAGTTAGCATATGACTGTTGCATCATGATAAGTCTTCCTCACCGTCAATAGGGGCTGAACGAAGCTCTCTGCTATTTCCATTTTCCTCTTGAAACCACTCCATATGCCAACATCAAGATGTAACATGAATGCCTGGAGATTCTTCAGATCCCTTGTAGCATTATTGTTCAACTCAAACTATTATAGATGAACTGATAAGCCTTCAAGATCGACCGGGAAAGGAGCCTACAGAGATGACTTACAACGTTCGCAATCCCTAGTCTGATAACCTCTTGTAAAGCCAGGCCAAATTGCCAAATTGCAGGAACCGAAATAAACGTCGCGCCGCTGGATACAACTGCACCAAGAAGTTCAGGGGATGTCCCATCCGGATCGAAAGACGAGGCATGTATCCAGCTGTCGTACTTGGAGTCATCTTGCACAAAGTGCGCCTGCATCAAATAATTCAGAAGTTCCAATGACGGAAATGAGGGGACCTTCAGCGGATCCTTATGCTGTGCGAGCACGATCGAGAAAAGCCGGTCTCGTGTCGTGAGAGACATCTTCATTTTGCGTGCTGGATTCTCCGACAGTCTCTCGAGAGCGGGTGCGCAGGCGATCATCTTCTCGTTGATCTGGAGGTGTTCCTTCTCGCGGAGCACATAGTCTTCCTTGTTCTTTGGCTCCCAAAGCCACGGTGAGCGCTTGAAGGCCGCATGTCCGCGGCAAGGATCTCGAGTATGGTGACGGTGGGATGGTTTTGAGATGGATGATGTCGCAGACTGTGGACTGGGCTCTTGGACATCTAGTTGCGGTATGGTGAAAGAGTCGAAGCTCAGATCCCATGAGGTTGTGAAGTCGATGTCCTGAAATAGGTTATGCACGGGGTTGAAGTAGACCATATTATCCATCATGCCATCTCCCATAGAGCCGGGCTGTCCCAGCATGTCCATCATATAAGTCGGATCATTGATGCCATCCATTCCAGGGACAAGAACATGGCTGCTGTCATTTGCGACATTCTCGAGCTCCGGGTCAATTGGACAACTACTGCCTCCAACTGCGATTTCGGAGGATATATCCTCAGTTTCAGGAGACGAAAAGGTGTGGACTGCAACCTAATTAGCACTATTCTACGCTTTAAATTGTACCAACTGAATAGCAACCTTCAGAAGAGGAGTTGTGCCGCAGCGCTCTCTTAGTAGAAGTCTCGCACAACAAATTCTTGTTGCGACATCGACCGCAAGGCTTCTGGTCGTCGCACTTCGCCTTGGACGCGGCACAGGCAAGACATGCCTCAGCCGCGCGGTCGCTTCGCCTTATGGGGCGACGTCTATTGCCCTCCTTGTCTCGGTCATGGGTGGTCTCATGTCTCGTAACGAGGTCCCTGCATAAAGATCATGTTAGTGGCCAACCACACCAGCGGCAACGAACAAATCACCACACCACACTTCATATGAGGGGAATACTGACGCCCGATTGAACCTCTTCGGACATCTCGAACACTGATACTGCCGCGCATTCTCATGCGACCTCAGATGCCGCAGGAGATGATCTGCCCTCTCGTAGATCCGCTTGCAGATATGGCAGACATGCACCGGCGGGCGGCCCTCAGCGCCGACAGACCCGCGGCCGCCGTCCTCCCTGACCCTGACCCTCTTCCTCTCCGGCGACTTGGACGCTGAAGACGACGACGACTGCTCCGGCGTGGCGAGCCCAAACAGCGAGGTCATCAACAGGTCCGAGCCCGCCGCGTCGCAAAGGATGTCGATGCCGCTCTGTCCAGCAGCAGCCATCATTATTTTCTTCTTGGGCACTGCCAAACAATATTACGAACTTACACAGGTTTGGTTCGCCCAGTGTGGGAGATGGAAGTGGACAGCCGACACGAAAGGAGGGCCTTCGTTCCGAGTGTGGGGGTGGGGCCGAGATCATATAAGAACCCGAGTCTGGGGAAACATTGGGGTCACACCACGCTAGTCCCCTCCCCTCGTTACCCCAAGTCCCGTCCTCATCTACCGAATCACGCACGAGGGTTGGTAATATGGACCTACAGGTCGATAGTTCGTGTACTGGGTACGCTCCATGCCAGAGTGACGTATGTATGTCCAAGGCGTTATGTCGTACGAGGAATGCCATCCTGTTTCTGTAAGTTGTCACATTTAGATGCAGAGGGCAAGGAATACAATGGCATTGCTTCGTGTATGATTTGATTGATTTGATTATAGTACACGGCGAATCTTTCCTCGCCGACGAGCTATCAAAAGTGACTTATTTCAGTCGGGTATAAGTTTGTTTGAGCCAGCCATGATGAGAAACTGTTTCTCGAAAAAATCTCTGATGGATATTACGTATGTGTTTCCGTCCGTAAGCTCATGATATTTAGGTCGTGACCGTTGCCTGGTGTCATAAATGTTGCCTTTCCTTGTTGTCGTTGCTGCAAAGAACCAAATAGAAAATAACCTCCCAAGATAAGCAGTCAAGTAGTCCACCAGCAACCACAAGATGCAGAATATAGTACAGTACCCAGAAGGTGGATTGATGATGGTGATCATATCAAAAGAAACAATGCTTGTAAAATGATTGTGGCCCGAGGCTGTAGTAGCCAATGTCGGTTGGTTAAAAACGCCGGTGCATGCCAATATTCATTGTGTCGATGCAAGAGCCGCTGCGAACGGTCGTTGAACTGATGACAAAGGAATCGCAGAATGAATGAAACAGCGCTTAGCCCCAGATAGGAACATTGCGGTATGCAGGAGAATTATAACTGTGGAGGATGCGGTAGGGAGGGTTGCCGGCATGGTGGCCGTAGCCTCCTACGCTTCGATTACGGTAATGACCGCGGGGAGCACTGCGTGGATAACGTCCAGTCTGCTCCCACTGTTGTTCTTCGAGATTGAACTGCGGATTATTCCAAGGATCGAACTGGGTCTGTGGTCGAGGCCCTTGGTTTGGTGCAGGCTGAGCATACCCCTTAGACTGAGAGTAATTATAGCTGTCGTAGCTTGCGCGATGTCTCAAGGGCGGTGCATTGGGCCGATGAGCGTAGGGCTGCGCGCTTGTAGGTCGTTGGATGAAATCATGTGGACTGGATGAGGATGACAAGGAATTGTGCCGACTCTGGTCTATGGAGGATCTACGAGATGACCCCAAAGGGTCATGATCGGTTTGGACTTCCCAGTTCGGTGTCCGATACTGAGAAATAGGGACCGACTGCTGACGCTTGAATTCCATCGAACGTCGCGGGTTCATCGGCGGAATTGGAGGAGCTGCCGAGTTAGCCGCCGCAGGATAGCTGTGAATGCTCTCACGGCTAGTCTTACGAGCTAAAGACAGTGCACCAGGAGGTGTAGATTGCGGCCGCAAGGGAGGCGGAACTCTCAAAGATGTAGGTCTTCTCTGAGTTCTCATCGTCACTGGGGGCGGTGTCTTTTGCTTGCCTGGTGGAAATAGCTCCTTGATGAGAGAAATCCGCGCTGAGGCGGCGATGGGCTCCTCTTGAGCATCGTAAGACGATTCATTAAGGCTGTATGTCCTCGTGTCCACTGTTCTCTCCATCTGTGCAGTCATGCTCATAGCCCTGCCCGGGATAGACCGTGGAGAAGACACTTCTATCTCATCAACAATAGCATTGAACGCAGCATCATATGCATTGTTTCCTAGGCTGTTATTGATAGAGGTATAGGTCGTGAGTTCGGCCTCGACTGCAAGTATGTGTTCCGGATCAGCTTGTTCCTGCGGCTTCACTGTTTCTGGCTGTTTGCGAACTGGAACGGGCTTCCTCGGGATAGGCTTTCGCGGAATCACGGATGCAGCAGCGTGAGCGATCGTTGTCGGGACAGATTTGACAGCTAGTTTCAGATGTGACTCTTTCACTTCTACGATAGCCTCTTTCTCGTCGTCAGGAAGAGTAGGTAGAGGTGGCAATGGATCATCCTTAGTGATCTCAAGGCTACCAACGCTGAAAATGGTCTTTAAAGTCTCCTTGCTTAGCTGTGTCTTCAGGGCCAGTCGTTTAGTTGTCATGGGGAAAAGGCCTGTATGCTCGTGGAGCCTAGCTTGAACATGTTGAGGCACGGAGGGAATTGACTTGTCGACCGCATGAGTGACATGCACAGTAAGTGGTGTTTTTGAGAAGCCTGCATGGTGACTAAGACTTAGCAGTCTTTGCAATTTACCTGGCTTGCGCGATCCGCTGCCAATGCTCAACGCGGAATTAGATGCGTCCGATTTGGCACTGGCAGGAGTCAATGGAATAGAGTCGGGAGACTTGGGAGCGTAATCCGAGCTGCGCATGCTATTTATTGGTGAAGGAGTGTGTCGCGCTGGCTTCCTAGTAATGCTCGAGAAGCTGCCCCTCGAGGTGTGCGGGCTGGTGGGCGAGGCAGGCGACTGATCCTTTGGGGGGAGAGGAGGAGGTGGCGGTTCACGCTGTGGCGGCGAAGAATAAAGGGTTTCGTTGCTCATAAAAGTCGGACTCGAGACCTCCTGGTGATCTTTTTCAGGAACTGCAGGCTTGGCGGCGGCCCCGTGGAAAGATCGCAGAGAGACGTTGGAACTGTAGCCCGAATCTGCCTTTGCCAGAGGTCTATGAGAGCGAGACGATTCAGATGTTGGGGATGCGGAAATAAA